GTTCATACATTTATTCCCTTTTATGAATTTTAAAAAAAGTAAAAAAAATGTCTTTACAGAATAATATGAGGCCGTCATTTATTTCGTCGGATTCTCTTCAGTTACTTACAACCTAAAAGTTGATTGTGTAAATATACAGAGAATTTTGTCACATTTGCTAGGCTTAACACGATTTCCGAATGGGCATCTTCAATCAATTATGTTGTCAGCCTCCTGACTCTTTGAAGGTTCTCAATTAATACCTGAAGTATAACATTAAGCTCCATGAAACAAAGTCTATGTTGAACTTCGCTAACAGTTGCATCGAATTAAATCACTATCCCAAAGTTCATTACAAGTCTCTATGTTGAAGTAGAGTTCACCTCAATAAGAAGACGCTGAAACGATATGCATTAAACCAAACAGACTCTTTATATACATATATACAAGAGAATGAAATGAATATTGCCCTGAGGCAATATGCAGTAGATGAACTGCCAGAAGATCTTAGAACGCTTTTTGTGGCATACGTTACTCAAGTTATTGAACGAAGAGCCCAGAGGAAGCAGATAGAGCTTATGAAAGGACTTAAAAGCAAGCCAGAGGCTAGTATATTTCCGGCAGGTCCTAAAAGTTACGTCCACAATTATAGTAGTATTGAATTAAATAAGGTGCGACTCGAAGTACTTTCTCTTGGCCTTAGATTTCGCGATAGACGGAAACGGATCAATCACTCAGATACTGATATTGAATTTGAAAACCTATTTGGTCAAACAAGGAATCTAGTTCCATCATCTACCCTGGAACTAGAACGCTTTAAACCCAGTCTAGTGGATTGTTGTTATCAGTACGAAAACATCAAATATGACAGTAAAAGTTTCTTGACAAAGAAGCACAGAGAAGAACTAAAGAAACTGATAAATCACGAAAGACTGATAATCACAAAGCCTGATAAAAGACCAGGAGTAGTTCTCCTCGATAGAAGTAACTATATCAAAAAGATGAATGATATATTGAAAGAAACACAGAATTTTGAAAACATGAGGAGAAGAAAGATTTCAATAACGAAATAGAGAATGAATTAACCAGATGTTTGAAGAAACTAAGGGAGGAACAGATGCTTTCCGAAAGTTTATATGAAGAAATCACACCAGCGAGCACGTATACGCCAAGATTGTACGGCCTACCTAAAGTACATGAATCGGGGCTACCGTTACGATCAATACTTGATATGCGAATTTCGCCCTACCATGCTCTCGTTAGATGGTTAGTAAATATTCTCAAACCTTTGAATTAGCAGATAGTGAAGTATAGCGTCAAAGATGTGTTTGAATTCGTAGGTAAAATCGAAGATATTAACATCAAGGATAAAACTATGGTATCTTCGGACATAACATCTTTATTCACAAATGTAACTCTAGTAGAAACAGTTAACTACATATGTAAATAAGTGTATAATAAGTCAACAAATATTGGTATCCCGACAGAAATCCTAAAAGAATTGTTATTAAGGTGTACCGTGAATGTAAGTTTTAAATTTGATGGCACCCTTTACATACAAGTGGACAGGGTGGCAATAGGTTCCTCATTGGGTCTCATGGTAGCAAATTTCTTTCTAAGCAATCTAGAGAATGGTTCTTTGAACAACCTTATCAGAAAATTCTCATTTTATTGCCGCTATATGGATGACACCTTTATTCTTTGCGATAATGATTCAGATAGCAACGCAATAATAACTCAGTCCAGTGCAGTACATTCTGCTTTGAAATTCACCTGCGAAGAGGAATCCTAAAATAGAATTGCCTTCCTGGATTTCTTACATACAAGAAAACCAGATGGTAGTATAAAGAGAAATTTGCATAGGCAAAGCAAATGGGCAGGACAATATGCACATTTTCATAGTTTCGTTCCTCTCCAGTACTAAAGGAATTTAGTAAGGACCGTCGGCTACAGGGTTAGATCTGTATGCTCAGAAGAGATAACTGAAGATGAACTAAGGATTGTATATGATACCTTGATTGAAAATAGCTATCCAGACAAATTTATCAAGAAACACATGACAAAGAAAGCGGAAAAGAACTACTCACTATCCGTGAACAAGAAGCCTTTATACATATGACTGCAATTCAATGGCGATATAACTCGCGAAATAATTACAAAGAAGTTAATAAAATCAGTTCAAAGAACTTTTAATGTTGGTAAACTATGAGTCATATTTTCTACACTATCGGTCGTGATTCCTTAATTGAAAGATAAAGTACCTAGACTAGCAACCTCTAATTGTATTTACCAATTCAACTACACCTGTGGAACGCGTTATATTGGCCATTGCTCTAGAAACTTGGTTTTTCGTGCTCGGGAACATCTACCTGTGTGGTTAAATAAAGGTGTAGTTAGAAGCAGCAGTAGCTCCATATCAGAACCCCTGGTTCAAACTGGTCTCAAAGCCAATATTGAAGAGTCCTTCTCCATCGCCTATCGAGTACCAAACAAAGTGCCAAAATCACCCAGGTACTACATACTTCAAACAGCAGAGGCTATTGCGATTCGCCTGAGACAACCGGTGCTCTGTGTGCAGAAGAAACAGGTCCAATCACTGTTACTGCCCTGGCCTACTGTGCAGTTTGCAAATTCAAAAATACCTTAATACACTGGCCCTTCATCCTGTACATATAAATTCCCCTACCCCTCGTCATTACACTTGCATTAACTACCCTTAAGTCTTCTTATTTAAACGTAGTCGTTCACTTACATACCTACACACATAAATTTCAACCCTCAAAATCCTTTTTCTCTACCCCCACCCTTGACATGATCACTCACCCATTTGAAGTTTATAATCATTATGAATGGATCTTAATATGAACATGACTCATGAGAATTTATTACTGCACATTCGTTGTCACTCATAATCATTCATTCTGTAATATTGTTCAATTTATTATTACAATTTTGCATATCACTACATGCATATAATTTTGACTATAATCTATTAACAAACAGCTTTTGGAAATCTCATCTAAATGATTCGATGTTACTCTTTTTAAAAACAATTAATTTTGTCAATAACAATCATTGTGTCATTATAATGGATATATAACTGTAGAACATGACGATGAAGTTACCGAAATGAATATTCTTTGTTCAATAATCAATCTTTTGAACATGATTTTTGTTAACAGAGACACATGTTAATAAACAATGTTCAGAAGTTCCACTTATGTAACTTATGAAAGAGGTCAAGGTTCCAGCAAAGCACAAACATGCAGAATTGATGGATGGATGCATTGAAAACTGAGCAAATAAGTGAGCCGAAGCAATCGTTATCAGACGATTAAAACGTGACTTATGTGCTCAGAAAGTTTCACTTATTAGTCTTTCCTTGCCTTGGTGACCCAACGTCTAATCTCTTTATCTAGATTGACTACATGTTCTTTTGCTTTCACCCCCCCCCCTGTTTTTTTTCTTGCTTAAGTGCAAATTTGTCCTTTTTGTTTGTACGACTTGAGTTAAAATCACCACACTGTTACTCATCATCAACTTCCCTCGTCTTGTCTTGACTGAGCAACTCACTTTTCAATATATCCAACTATTAATTTTGCATGTTTGTGCTTTCCTGGAACTTAGACTTCTTTCATAAGTTATGTAAGTGGTAATTCTGAACATTGTCTATTAAAATGTGTCTCTGTTGAGCCTAGCAAATGTGAAGAAATTCTCTGTACATTTACACAATCAACTTTTAGGTTGTGAGTAGATGAAGAGAATCCGACGAAATAAATGACGGCCTCATATTATTCTATGCATACATGTGTTTTTACTTTGAAGTCAACTGGTGGATGGTGACTACCAATGGAATCCAGCATGCTCATTTCGTCCTATTTGGGACTCGTCATCTGCATGTGTCTGCACTCCCCAGTGATTGAAGGTGTTCCCACGGAGGGTCAATCGACGGGAAAATCTAAACTGAATTAAATAATTCATTTTTACTTTGTTTAAAAACTTTTTTGGGTTTGTAAATTTTTATATTAACTACTGAAATCATTTTATAGGATACTTGAGATTACCCGTAATTGAATTTATTAGTTCTATCCTGATTTCGTTTTCTTGATGTCGATGGCTTTCATACTCTAACTGAATATTTTTCATTTTCGCTCTGGTTCGTTTCTTAGCTTAGGAATGCAAGTATCCTTACCTAGCAAAAAATCAAATGATTACAAATCATCAGATCAGTTTAAGCTTTGCTGCCAGTTACATCGAACTACACTGAAATGTTTATTGTCATTTAAGTGGTTCTTATTTCTGAAAATGAACAGCGTTGTGTAAGATCTGAAGACAAAGGATAATTGTTATTATTCTATGGCTTTAAACTCTCTCTCTCTATATATATATATATATATATATGTATAATCTGTTGGAAATACTTTTCTAACCAAACTTTAGATACTTCGGCATTCAAAGATTTAACTTTATAGTTATAATCTAGGAGACTGCTCAGGAAACATCGTGTGTACAAGAGTTGTGTTTTCCGTACTTTTTAATTATGCCCAATTGCAGTTATTGAAATATATGGAGAATTGGTGTCTCCTATAAATTTTCTACGTGCGTCAACGATTCCATGCTTTAATGCTAGCTATTGACACAAGAGATGATGGGTTCAATTCCCAGCCGAGGCGCTGCTAAACGTTGCCTAGTAGGTACTGATGCCTAAATACAGGGAAGATCGTATATGAGGCTAGCTACCTCACTCAGTAAGAAAATCACCCTCTCAACTGAAAAATCATGGTGCGTGAATTCTTATGTTCCAAAGGAAGGAGAAAAATAAACGTTATAATAAATCAGCCAAGTACACTTGTATGTGCTTGTGTACCCTTTACGCAACGGTGCTGCACATAAAAGAAAATAAATCTACAGTATTACTTTTCTGCTCTATATGAAAGAGAATTATTCTCGATATATTGTATCGAACTGTTAATGACATTATGGTACATTCCTGTTGTTATACTGCTTTTCTTCTTATTCAGCAAGTGAAAATATTGAAAACGACACACATAAACAAAATGTAAGTCAAGATGGATTTGTAGATTGTGTAATATCAGTGTAGAATTATTTTATTTATATTAACTCTATAACATTCATTATTTTCTTTCTTGAAACCAGAAACTTAATAAAATATTAGGGTGCCAATTTGATAACAGTATGAGTAAAAGGGAAATGAAATAAGTAGACTCTCTCACCAACTGAAGAATATTGAAAACTATAGATCTAATGCAAAACACTGGGGTCACGAGACGAACAAATTACCACTCTGTCGATCGTCAGAAATTTAGTGTCTCATACAATACAGCGCTACCGCTGTCTAATGTCAGTGACCAGCATCTACCTTCACAGCCGAGTTGTTATACCCCACTGGTCACAAATTCCCATTAGAACTCCAGAAAATAAATCCGCCAGTCAATTACTAACTTGCAGTCGACAAGTTCTCAGGTGTTACATTTGTAACAGCTAGTCCCTTTGATAAATTCTAATGAAGCATAATGAAGACAAATATCGCAAGATAACATCATTTCGTAGTTTCTCTACAATCGCTTTAGAACTAACACGGTTCACAATAAAATAAAATGTATGAATTGATATAAGAATAGAACTTGTGTACTGTGGTAGAGTGTAATTCCATTGTGAGTAAAATTTATTTCCATAAAGTCTCACAGTCTTATACAGTAATATATATTGATAACAATGTTTCGACCATAATTTATTGCTCGTTATCATATCAAGGTACTCGCACAACTTTCTAACTTTGTTTATATAATTCCATTATTTTTCATCGCTTGATTTGATTGGTAGCAATAGTTGTTGTTGTTGTGGGACTTATTGTAATTATTTGACTTTCGAACACTGAATCTGTGTATATAATCTTGTTGACTAATAATACCTATAACTATCTGTTTGGCATATTGTGACTGTTTAACACTAACCATATATATATATATATGCATATATATATATATGATTGAATATATTGTTGGATTTACATGCCTAAGTCGGCCCAAATCAGTGAGTCTATGGTTTTGATGTCATTTTTATTAACTGTATTTAACAGTGATACTACTGCTACGGTTTTTTTGTTGTTGTTGTCACTGCCCTTACTCTTGTGAATTTTCTTCCTTTTGCTGGTGTTGTTCAGACTGCTTTATTCCTTGTTTTCCTGATTCTAAGGGTAGCAACCCATAAAGTTGCTCCTGTGTAGACTACATATCCATGTAATAAGCCTTTTCTCAGGCGTGAGACTAGTAACCCCACCCTGTAAACAACCGCTACAACTGCAATGTGAAGTCAGTGCTACTAAACGAATCACAGACTTGGCGCGTCACGCAGAACCCTTCGAACAAACTACAGTCCTTCATCAACAGCTGACTTCGCCCAATACCACTCAAGATCAGATGGCCAGAAAAGATCAGCAACAGGGATCTCTGAGAGCGAACCAACCCAACAGAAACCGATTGGGCAACAAATAAGCAGGAAAAAATGGAGGTGGATTGGCAACACCCTGAAAAAACCATCAAGTGACATCACACGCCAGGCCATTTCTTGAGTGGAACCCGAATGGGAAGCGGCGAGTTGGTCGTCAGTGCGAGGGTGACATGGAGCGGGTGATGCGAAGAGGAGATGAAAGCATGTTGGCAGACGTGGAGTCAGATGAAAACGTTGGCAGTCAACCGAACGCAATGGAGACGTGCGGCTGAAGTCCTATGTTCCTCTAAGAACTGAAGGAAATAATAATAATTTTTATTGATAAACATGAAAGAACACCGTTTATTTAAACAAAATCAAATACAGTATACAAGAAACCAATCTTCTTAAAATCTGGATTTAAAAGTGATGAATTATCTGGAAGAATTAAATATAGAATAAATACTGCAAGATTCTATGTTAGTTTGTGGTTGTCAATCTGTATGACGATCACCGAATCGCAAGATACACTAAAGCATGATCAGGATCCAGAAAAGTGCACCAGAAGGAGCGACAGCCGTCTATGCCCACACTCTGTCACCAGCTGATATGAATGCGATAGCATGCGAAAAGCAACTGCATGCTGAAGAGATCAGACAACTCTTCTATACACCGAGCTTGGGTCTTTCGTTTTTAGTGACCTACTCTTAAGGTGGCAGAAAAAAAAGCTAGAATGTGTCTATAGAAGCTTGAAATTTACAGATAAAAGTACTAATGGATTAAATCGAAATAAATAACATGAGGATACCAAAAATTGCAACTGAGAAAGTGCTAACCACGAAGTTACTTCTTATTGATTATTTTCTTCTGATTCCAAACGTCATCAGTTAATATTACTGTATAACACTGTGTGATTTATCAAAATAAAATCTTATTCATAATGGAGTTATACTCTACCACACTGCCCAAGTTTTATACTTATAAGTGGGATATTATTTAACATTTTTGAATTTTACTTTAGACTGATACAAATGAAATGTCAGTAGAAGATTTATTATTTCAACTTTCTGAGAAAAACTGTCAAATAGATTTACTACAGCGTCGTTTATCCTTTATGCTACATGAACGTGGAGTCCTGTGTCATCAGTTGGAAGAAATGAACACAATACATGATAAATTGGGGAATAAGGTAAGAATTAGTTTTTCCTAATGTACATATTACTATGTTTCTCTGTCTTTTCTAAAGTCGACTACTTTTGTTTGCTTCATTTATCATCATTAAATCAAACTGTGTAACACTATGATTACTGCTGAACGCATATACTTTGCAGCAAAGGTTTTAGTAAATAATCAAGTGCATCTATCCGCTTTTTTGGTGTAGCTGTTCACACTCTGGGTTACAAAACAAAAGGTAGAAACAAGCAGTAGAATAAATGTAGGCAGATATCTTGACTAAGCAAAATTATAAGTGGCTGATGATTACCTAGTGTTAATATTAATCAGGAAGACCTCACGACTGTCATGATTATCACCTAGTGAATTTTGAATCACTTATCATGGTATTCTTTTTCCACAAACGAATATGCAAACACTTTTATCATGGAAAGTTGTGATAGTTTTCTGTCACCTTTGAATTTCTTTAATCGACTGATGCAAATAACAACACTACAACTGTTAAGTATTCACAAATCCATGGGAATAATAGTTTAAAGTACAGTGTTTCAGATGTTGTAGTAGTCAGATATTTAGATGATTCCTCTGGCAGCAAAAAAGTAGATTTGATGGTTAAATTTACAGCCATGCGATAAAATGTGGAGATGAATTCATCATAGTATTGCAGAAGAGTTACTGAAGACGTATTTTTTAAGCACTTATTAAAAAAATATCTACCACGCATTCACGGAAGGACGGAACAGATATTCAGGTTGTAGTCAGTGAGATGCGGACACATCCGGATGATGAGTCTCATAAAGGAATGAAACACACCTCTTGGACTCCATCGCTAACGACCACCTATCAAATAAAAGCTGTTCAGTGTAAATGACTCTCATCTAACTTATAAATACCGTCATTACACACAGATCCAATGAAATACATTCGGCTATTTAGTATGAGCAAACTGGTTCCAGCTGAGTTGTTTATAATGCACATCAAGGTAATGTCATACGTGTTTGCTAAAAGCTCATAGTTTTCCGTCATTATATTCTCCATGAATGTTCATATTATGTTTTCATCTACTAATTTATATCCTGACAGGTTATTTTCCAAGTTTCTTGTCCATACTAGTCAACGAGAATTGAAACTTTTTTTGTAAAAGCTAATACAAACTTTTAGCCTAGGAAATTTTTTTATTCCTTTACGTTCCCAGTGGAACATAGGAATACAAGCTAGAGACTTGAAGTTTCGGTAGAAGTGGTGTTTAGTTTTACGGGATGGGGTTGCTACCTTCATGCCCAACTTTCCTTCTTTACCAGTCTTATTGCCAGGTAAAGTAGTGCGTCGGCCGGAGATCGAAGCCCGAACGACCTGCGTGGTCGGCGAGCATTCTACCGCTGCGCCACCGACGCACTTAGCCTAGGATATTCATAAGCTTTGCGTAATCACTTGAACCTATCGAACCAAAATCTGAAACATATTAGAATTAAAATTATAGTGCATTATTTACAAAGAAAAGTAGGAGTTATTTTTTTTATTAATTCTTAAAAACATCTACTTATTATCATAAAAATACAATCGATAAGGTAGTGTGACTATAATTCATAATGAATTCTTAATTACTTCTTATGTGCAGTAAATGGTAAATGCTAACTAGTTACTGAATAAAATCCATGTATATATATATATATATATATATATATATATATATATGCTAGAAACCCTCTTATTAATGTATGTGTCTTGTTACATTCTGTTTGATAGATTATCACTGAAATTAAGAGCAAGTCACCTCTGAAAAAGTGAATAATACAGGATTTGAATAATTAATAATGAACTACGACATAATGTAACTTGATATTTCGATATAGTGGACAATACAGACTTTATGACGCCTGTAGAATTATTAACTGTACAGAATGTTTATATTTTAAAATCATGTCAGTATTGATGTGAATACAAGTTTCAGTCTGTTTACGTATACATGAAAGTAAATCTACATGGGCACACATTATTTTTGAAATAAAACTGGTAAAGTGATGGAAGTAAGTTCTGTTGTGGATTGTTGTCTCATTTAGAAGGAAACCTGACCAATTAAACCAAGAAAATATAATCAGTGATTAACCAATCAAGTCCAAATTAAAACAAAAAGTTAGTTATAGTAATAGTAACTAGCAGGAAGAGTTCTTATTATAGCGCAGCAGTTATGAAAAAAATTCAAAAAGAAATATATTAACGCCGTGCTTTTCAGCAATACAGTTGGTTATTGTACTATCTGTAGCAATGACAGTGACTTGAAATTTGATCCTGACTCAAGTATGGCCTAGGTTAGAAATCATAAGTCTGTTCAAAACTGGTGCAATAAATCTTTTCCACGGACATAATATGGAGTAATCATAAATATTCACAGGCCATTAGAACTGGTGCAATGGTGAGCCTCCACTCGGGATCAGAGCATTCTTTGCCACCCTGAACCAGACGCCAGGTAAGACCAGGGTCCCAGTGGCTGGATAGTATACGAGCTTGCCTTGTAACTATAAGGTCCTGGGTTCGAACTCCACTGGGTGCGTACTACCGATGATTTCCAAACTAGGACGAAACAACTAGCTGTCCAGTACTAGCGCGTTAATGGCACAGCGGCAGAATGCTCGCCGACCACGCAGGTCGTTCAGGGTTCGATCTCCGGCCGACGCACTACATTACCTAACTAAGCTGGTAATAAGACTGGTAAAGAGGGAAAGTTGGACATGAGGTTAGCGACCCCATCCTGTAAAACTAAACACCACTGCTACCGAAACTTCAAGCCTCAAGTTTGAATTCCTATGTTTCACTGGAAAGATGAAGGAATATGTGTATATTAGAATGGAGCTTGAGTTTGACAGTATTCGCCTTATTGTTAGCACTAGAGTTAGCTTCCCTAGTTGAGTAATCTGATTATTTAACACAGTGATTTGAAGCAGTAAGCATCTTGAATTCGTACACTAGTCAATGCACTGTAGGAAAATTCAGAAAAGAAACTATTAATACAGTCAAATATATTTCAGTCAAATTATCACTTCAGTACACTCATATATGAGAAGACGCTAATCCATGCGTTTAAATATATATATATATATATATATATATATAACGGTAGATTGAATAATTAAACGTTCGTTGAAGTGTCATAAATTCCGAATTTCCAAACAATTTTGCTTATCAATTCCTAATTTATATAGTTTGAAGTGAAATTTCACCCTAGTTTCCTTTGGAAACCGAAACTATTTACATCATAATATGTAATCTGCTTCATACCCAATGTAAATGTATAAATCTATATAATACTCAGCTGTATATGATTGAACGTTAGTAAGCATTACTGGTTGATATATAACTACTCATCTCAGTCAATCAGTAGTATATACTTTTTGTGTAATCACATTAGTTCATGAAATATCCCCATTCGAACATTAATAGGGAGAAGACCAATTGTTCAGTGGAGAGTCTCTTTTCGGCGAATTCGTTTTCAAAGCTGTACAATCGCAAACATATACAGTTATTTTGTATGTGTGTGTACATTAACTTTGTCAGAAGAAAATAAAGGAGCTGGCGTGGTCCTTATGGACAAAAAAGACTACATAGAGAAAATGAATAACATACTGTCAGATAAAACTAAACTCTCGCTACCACCCAATGAAACAAATAAAGCAGAACAGATCGTAAAACAGCTCAGTGATGTTCTGAAAAGAATGAAAACCGAACAGTTAATCAGTCATGAAGTTACTGATCGAATTCGACCAACACGATCAATAATGCCAAGATTACACGGCTTACAAAAGATACATAAAGCCGGTCCCCCACTGCGTCCGATTTTAGATTTGTCAGGTTCCTTGTACCATTCAATAGAAAAATGGTTAGCTGATATTTTAGAACTTTTACGAAAACAGATGTGCCACTATTCGCTTCGTGACACATTTTAATTCGTCGACTGTATACAAGATATCAACGTAACAAACAGAAATATGCTTTCTCCTGACACTGAGTCACTATTTACCAACGTCCAACTCCCAGAAACTGTCTGTCACATTTTTCAATATACAGATGAAAGCCAGCTGAACATCGGATTACCGACAGCATGTTTAAAAGAACTACTACTGAGATGTACACGTAATATAAAACTCACATTCAACGATGTTATTTACAGACAATAAGATGAGATCGCAATGGGATCTTCACTGAGCCCATTGCTAGCAAACCTCGAGAATGACCCACTCAAATCAACTATTGATAATTTTCAATTGTATGCTAGGTATGTGTACATCTTTGTTATCTGTGATGATGGTCACGATCTTAATCAATTACTACAAATATTCAACAACTACCATTCAGCTACAAAGTTTACTTTTGACAAAGGAACAGATCTAAAATTCCTTTTCTAGATATTGAACTTACAAGAAGAACTGACAGAGCTTTAAGAAGGTCCATTTCGTAGGAAACCGAAATGGAACGGCCAACTGACAAGCTTCTACAACTGGGTACCAGTCAGTTGAAAAAGAAGCATAATTAGATCTCTTGCTACTCGTGTCCGACGCATCTGCAGCTCTGATACCCACCAAGATTCATAGACAAAAACATCAAACAGAAAATTCAAAAGCAAGAGACGCCATCCATGAACCTCGATTTCAAAGGTGACTTACTCAGTGACATCATTAGGAGAATTCCCACTTCTTTGAGAAGATCTTTCCTCGCTGCAACACTTAGAGTAGTGTTCTCCAGTCAATCGCTGATCTGCAGAAGCCAAAAGGACAAGATCTCGCACCCGACCACTTTTATGTGTATATATCAGTTCACCTGCTGCTGTGGAACCAGGTACATCGGTCTTCGTCCTGTCAACAAGGGTCAAAGAACACTATCGACCGTGGCTGCAAAAACAATTAACTGATTATATATATATATATATATATATATATATATATATATATATATATATATATAATCAGTTAAAATAACGAACCTACTGATAATTCCAAAGAGGCTTGTCAAATTATCGTCTGAAAATTGTCGTTGAATAAAAGACATTTACCCATCAGACATTTCAGAAAAATACTCGGGATGAATATATCCTCTGCCTATTCATCATTTAATATAAACTTCAAAGATTATATCAGAAATATGTTTCTAAATCAGAACGAAGTGCTTATAATGCTGTAACACTTAAGTGTCAGCAACACGATTTCGTGAAGTTGTTGCAATAATTGGATATTTTGTACATTTCAGGTAGACTAATGATGATATAGTCTCACTTCGTAATCTTTGTTCTTGTTTATTAATTTATTTTATTATGACAGCAAAAGAGTTCAGGCCTATATAACTTATTATTATGTATTTTTTCATTTAAGCATGTATATATTTTAATTTCGTATCTTTTAGACGTACCTGACTGCTAAGAGCAAACGTACACAACTTCTTATGAACACTGCAACACTGAAAGATGATTTTTCAAAATATTCTTACAGGTAAAAGTATATAATGTTAGGTTTTTTATTAGTTTAATGACTTTAATAATTTCTTATTACTGTCAGTCTGTATCAAACTGTACATATCCAGAAAGGCTGATTCGAACTGGAGAACTCGCGTATATTTTAAGGTGATTACAGAACATCATGCTATACTGGTTGATCGTTTGCAGGCATTAACTGAACACTTTGAAGCCATATTCGTATGCTACCAAAAAAACTCAGTCGAACAGATTGGCGGAACCGGACATAAATCAATATCACCATAAAATTAACAGAAATCAGAGATGGACTACTTTATGCGTTCCTTGTTTAAATATCTCTTTATAAGTAAAGGATTCCGGTTTCTAGTAATAACTATATAACAACTTTCAGCCTTTATCACAAACATAACTGGTGTATATTAAAGCTACCACCACTAAACTTTAAGACATTTACCACTAACAGTTAATCACTACAGGATTCTAAGTTGTTTCTCGTTTTACAAACATCAGTTCTAGCTACGTGAGGACTAACTTGTTCACTGATGTGTTGTACTTCAAGTATTCGCAATTCACTGGAATAAAATACAGTAAATAGTTAACTTAAGTCAATGAAAAAAGTTAAGATAGCACTTTCAAATATCATGAATGCATTTGTTAGGAAGTTAGAACTCAGTTACTCACTAACACTGTAAGCCACATTTAATGTGTGAGGGCTGAAGATACTACCCAGACCGAAGTAAGTACAGCGAGATTCGAAATTGGGACCGATTGCTTGGAAGTTTAGTGCTTAAGCCAGTGGGATTTATCACCTCATCATGACTACATACATAACCTGTTTTTGATGCTCCCAGAAATTTGCAGTGACGAAAGTAAAATAACGTTAGACTTACAGTAAAAGACTTTAAATGTTAATAACGAGGATGGACGGGAATCGTAACCATTTAAATTGAAGTAAAAGAAACTTTGGATTTAAAAAGTTTAGTATGGGGGAATATAACGGGAGATCGAAAATAAATACAAACTATATAAGGAGTAACTGAAAATAACACTATGTGAACAAATTGCTTTTCAGGTACTTAGTTAGATCTGAACTTGTCTACTAACTTATTCTCTTAGAAGATATTCATTCAGTATAAGCCAGTCAGATGATGAGAGAGCCCACTTTTAGAAGTGTTACTTTCCTAGAATTGTAAGTTCCTCAAAGCGTATCAAGACAACCGATGTTATTATTACTGTTCCCTTGGGTTTCGAGTGGGACATAGGGCTTCAAATATCCGAAGTTGGGATCTACATTTTCTTATATTAATGAACTCAGTTTGGCACACACATATTTGTGCAACATAGGAAGGATGCCGTTGGAACTTCAATCACAATAATATGTAATGTGTTTATTACACTCAGTCTAGCACTGTTTAAAGATAAGTTCCGATCAGTGGCGCTTACGCTCCTCCCCCTATGAGATAAAGCTAGACTTCCCAGTAAAAGCCGAATGAAAATTGGTGATATGGAGCAGATAGTGTGAAGAAAAAAAGGAAAGCTAGGGGGCAACCTTGGAGCCAGGTAGGGATGAAAACAGAGAACTGACTGCAATAAAGATTTGCTGTTGCAGACCTATGTTCCTATCGGAACGAATAATAATAATGTAGAATTCTGCAAACCAAGTCCCTTCAGCTTCTGTACTCTTGGCTTAACAGTTTTATTTAGCATGTTAATTTTGTTTTGAGTGAACTTGCAATTCGCCTGCCCCTTTTTCAGTGACATTGAAAATTTATTCATAAAGTAGCTCTTTTATTTGTTCTCAAAGTAACTCAACTTGGAGAATTCAATGGAAAAATAAATACACATTCATCGTATATGACAGTTTGTCTTCCGCAGAAAACGTACGTTTATCGATTCAAAATTACAGTTTAAGCATTTCGATAAAACTTCATTTTGTTAATAATAACTGCTCCACACCCCATAAAAGAAAAAACTGAGTATTTATAGGCATAGAAATATCAGTTTATTTTTGTTTTAAAGCAATTAAGCAAACTTAGTCTAGACTTTCGAACTCTGAGTGGATAGGGTGATTGTTCCGTCTACTCAAATGACAAGAATGAAGGTCCACGACTAGTGGTAAGATTATTAACTTACTAATCATCATGTCACCTTTTAATCCGCTCACATATATATTTTCACCGTAAATTTTCAAATCATTTTTTAAAATCTTTATATATTACAGAACTGAAATAGATTCTAACTGTGATACAGAATTCACCTCTGAACTACCCACAACAAGTGTCATCACCACAACAAATATAGTAAATAAAGCAGAGATAATGCAGTCCACTACATCGTCAAATGATGAATGCAAATTCCTTGATAAAAAGGTTAGTGAATTACAGGTAGATGATACTGATGGAATATGAGGACTTGTACAAACAAATGCAAAACACTGTGACAGATGAAAATCGTTCAACGTCTAGAATAGTCTTTTGAAAAGGAAGCACACACCGTTGCATATCGATCTGCATACAAGATAATTCGTAGAAGACTCGTTGTACAAATATATATATATATATATATATATATATATATACACATATTATAGGAGAAAAACAGTCGCTATTAATTTCAGAGTCTTAATCATGCTTACAATCTCTATATCCATTGATAAGAATATAATTATGATGTAGAATCAACAATGAATACAATTTTCCCACATGGAACTTTTTGCTAAACATTTATAGCATTTCGAAAACGCCTTCACAAACAAATCATCTGATTAAACATCTATTTTCTAAATTGATGTACATTTTTTCACAAGTAGATAATTCACTTCCTTTTTGTTTTCGACACTCTACTTCAGCAGCTTATCTTTTCAAAAAGTGATAAAAAACAAAACCAACTCCACTGCATTTTATTTATATTCCTGATTTCACACTATGATTTCTCTTAAAAGTGTTTACCTAAGATCTCCAATAAATTTATGTAAAATTAGATACCTGTGTTCAATGAAAGGTATCTATTTGATGCAGAGATTGAAATAAGTTTGCTTAATAACGAATACGACTTGGAACACAGAATTCGACACTTCTTTTAAGAAGACGATAAAACGTATGTGAACTGTCCTCCATCAATACTGAAAGTATTTTGTCTGGTGGCAGAGCTTTAACCGAACGCGATGAGGGAAATTATGAAAAGGCGAGATTTGAGCTGATACATTACAACTATCTCTTTGATTACTGTGAGGCAAATATAGTAGTATGGTCACCACTGTCTGAATGTACCTTCGCTGTGATCTCTTAGGTAGACTCGTCTTAGATACTGCTATTATGCATCAAGGGGACTGTTTACTGTTATTTATTCGGCTCTTAACAGTGTACATATATCATTTGTGTTTTTTAAATTTGAGATCAAACTTCATCTCTCTTCTCTGTTCCGTATTGATTCGAATACATTCATACGCTGAATATGTTGAACTAAGCGTCTTTTTCGAAAAAGGGCATTACAACAGCTCCTCAATTATAAGTGTTTCCTAAACTATGGTCACCTTGATTCTGTTAATCAGGCATATACGATAAACCTATTTTCCACTGGCAATAAATAAACAATTTCAGCGTTACAATACTGGTTTTTCGAGTTCACTATGATCCAACTTCACATAAATGAATGTCATAAATGTCTTTCTGAAAATAGCTTAGTATTGTTGATATAAGAATAGAACTTGTGCACTGTGGTAGAGTGTAATTCCATTGTGGGTAAAATCTATTTCGATAAAGTCTCACAGTCTTATACAGTAATATATATTGATGACAATGTTTCGACCACAATTTATTGCTCGTTATCATATCAAGGTACTCACACAACTTTCTAACCTCATTTATATAATTTCATTGTTTCTCATCGCTTGATTTGATTGGTAGTTGCATCCTCCATATTTCCGGTATGAGTGATGAGCCATTCCTATTGTACGTGTTGGGTGTAGATTCAATGAATAAAGATTCGGTAATCGACCTCTCTCTCCACCTACCTATATTCCATTTGAGAATTTTAGCACTCTCCCACCCTACTGTGTCGTTGTGTGTTAACGCATACAGTACAATTGCTGAGCGTTTTTCTAAATTACTTATCTTCGCCGGGTCAGTCATTCTAACCTTCGCTTAGAAAACAAAACTCAGCAACTGCACTGCATGCGTTAACACACAACCACGCAACACAACTTCTCGGATGAAATCAGACGGGTAACTGACTGAAACTGAGCAAATGAAATAGGTCTCAGCACTTTTTCACAGCTAAGGATTAAACAAACATGTTTTGTGTATTTGATTTACACGAAGTATTAAAACTAAGTTTATGACCCATCTGTGAAGTACCCTGACAGAATCAACTGAGTAAGATTATTTTATTTGTTGATGACTTTTCGAAACCATATTACCAACTATTAATTTCATAGTAAAAAAAAATTTGCCTCAAGTCACTTTCATGCACGATTCACATGCCCGTTAGACATTAATTACCGCACAGTTAAGCAAATCAGCCAAACAGTAACAATTTTTAGAAAATCAAACAATATTTACACTTTTGGAAAACAATTTTTTCAAGTAAGGAAAAATGTTATGGATTGCGATAGTTAGAAAGACATCTGTTAGTAACAGGATATTCAGATACAAAAATATTCTTTTAATCCACAATAACACGTAAGGATAAAATACGAAGAGCTTCTTCAGGTGTCAGTCTATATACTCCCAATTCGAGTAGGGATCCCAATGGATTGTTATCATCCTTTCGCACAGTACTCACTGATTCTTTGAGAGTGTCTTTTAGAAGTTCAGCTGTTCCAGGCAATAGATTTAAAAGAACACATGCATCACGAGTTTGGAAGAAGAATGATTCTGGACGTTCAGTGTACAGGTTGAACGCTGAGTACAAACAGTTTGTGAGATCAAAACGTAATTGCGCAGCTCCAAGAGAAGTAAATCGATTCATTAGAATCAGCTGTAGGGGAAGATTAAAACAATCAATTATCGGTCACTAATATTTACTTCAAGTCAACCAATCATCAATACACTCCCACATTTGTGTACATGTTAGCGAACAAGTGGTCAAAGCACTTGATATTTATCAAGATATCACAGGTAAATAGCCTGCTTTCGTCCACCACATTTTGTTTGTTGTCAATTGCTACACTTCTTAAAAGCTAAATATTTAAGCAAATGACATGAAATCAAAAAAAAGGAAAAAAGATTGAAGTCACAACATAAGAAAGGACTTCGGTACTATGACAGAATAATTCCTAAATGGAATTATACTTCGTGTTACATGTTTGTGATAGCTTAGTAAATCGAACGAAAACTGAGAGTGAGGTAAAGCTTCATTCTTACTTACAAGTTTTGTCAACAAATCCACGGTACATTTTCTAGTATTTTCCCAATTTAATTCCCCTCTGTTTAGTGACTGACTACCTTACTCTCATAAGTGAACAATCCTCAGTCATAATGTAATATTATACTCTATAAACTTCAACAGTCAGTTGAAGACAAACAAATAAATACACTTGCAGTTAACGAGCATATCTCAAAAAGCTTTTGGAGTTACAATTGAATTTTAATGCTGTTGAGAAGACTTAAACGAGGTGGAAAACTCATTTGTAAATTTCTATTGCGTTTCTCCGAATCAAACTACCCTGACGACTTTTATTGACAGTGACTCACATTTTTAAGGATTTTATAGCTTACAACACATTGAAACATCAGTGATTAACTAATGAATTAATTCTCAACTCATCATTGTATCAGAATAGAGGGCAGATACAACTATACTACTTTCAGACTTTCATAAGACAAAAACATACCAGTACGCCGAAATTGTGGAGCTGTGGTTCACTGATGCAGGCGCTCAATTCCCACCCAGGGGCTAACGGGTTTGGACCCCATCCTAACGACGGAGATATCGGTGACGAGATGGTTTTTTTAGTCCTCACCCTCAAATGAATAGAAATGCAGGTAGTCATTGAATGATATTTACTCATTATTTTTGCTAACAATCAAATCTCCATAAAACAATAGATTCGCCAAGTGAACAGTGTTAAATTTAAAAGAAAATGAAACGACCGATATGTTCGTGAAGATCATGTAAAGTGGTTGAAGGGTATGTCGCGTTCATCTGACTACTGCTTATCCTCAATATATTATATTAATTGCAATCTGAAATGATTGAAGAACTATTAGATTAGCAAAACAATGAAATCAAACCTAACTATTACGTTCCACTATGACTGAATTACTAAGAGATTGATAAAATTATGGTTTTACATAACCAGGTGTATTCAGTGGTTATTTTGACCTTAAATCTTAAGCCTATGAATTAATACTAATTTAATTCACATCCGTTAATGTTTTTTTATAAATTCAATTTAATAATGGCAAACATACCTCATTATAAAAGTAGTCATCCAATTGAGAAGCTATTGATTTCCATATATGAGGAAAAAGTTTCCAATGCACTGATTTTGATAAATGATACAACCAGTCATGTAATGCACGAAACAACACCGATGCACTGGTTGACATCATTAAATTGGCACTTTCACTTTTTATATTGCCTGACTCAGAAGTGTTACAGAGCCAATGATCCGATGAACGAATATAAAACGAAGATTTCTCCTTTAGGTCTTTTGTTACCATTTTAACTGTTTCTTCCAACATTCGTTTTATCTGACTGCTGTATAACAGTAACATCTAGTCCGTAAGGCAAAAAGGAAAGGGGAAAATTGTTCAAATAAATGTATATATGCGTCAGTGATTCAGAGGTAGAATACTCGCCAATCCAGACATGTGGTTTCGGTTTCAAGCCCAGGCTGACGTACGCCTAAGCTTTTCTAAGCCGGTAGTAAGTTCAGTAAAAAAAGAACGTTGGGCATGTAGCTAGCAACTTCACTCCGCAAAAATAAGACCACTGCTACTCAAACTTCAAAGGCCGAGTTTGAAGCCCTATTTTCCACTCGGAATGCAGAGGAATGAATAGGACCATATATTTCTTATTTACTTATTTTTTTAAATATATAGCTTGATTCCACACAGTATTTTTGGTACAAGTATGGAATTTTCAGCATTAGTTATCGGTAGCCCAAATTTTGCAGGTCGACCATTGATATCAGGTGTGCGTTGGCAGGGGATCGAACCCCAGACCATATGCATGGTCGGCGAGAGTCCTAACCGCTGTGCCACCGACGCACATATGTATATATATATATATAAACTGTGACAGTGAATGAATATTCAGTGCAAAGTGAAGAATTTTAACAAATCGAATCGAACTGTGAAAATATTTCAGGAAAATTGAGAAGATTACGAACGTTTAAAATGACATATAGTCAGTGACCCTAGTCGATAAGAATGTGATATTGTAAAAAAATTACCCATGTGGAGTGAAATTTTGTGAGTTTGATAAATCGGACTTTAATAACTTTGAACGCCTACTTTTACGTCCGTATCAGAAAAAACAAATATTTCCACAAACAAGTGAATAGTATTATTCACGATCGAAACGGCCATCTGGTGTATAGATCATTTCAGTCTGGATAGCAAGCACTAGTGGTTGGTGCGAGTGGTATACAACCAACCACTCATCTCGATCAATCAGTAGTGTTTAGTTTTAGGACTACCTTGAATTCCCACACATTACCTAATACCTCGGCCAGCCCAGATTAAAAAGTTCATCAGCGTCACCCTTGGACACCTCTGGAGTAGTTCTATCAGGTCCGCCTAATTTGCATTGTTTCAAATTGCACAACTTTTGCAAAACTTCAGTGACAGTTTAGAGACCGATGTCTACATTCCATTTAGGTAGATATTGGTTGCTGTGCAAATTTAGCGTGACTGTAGGCCAGTTGAATTGCCCGCCATATATAGAATAGTTTGGGAATCATTGTGAACAGCAGTACCAGATTTTTTCAGCTGGTACTTGGAGGATCACTTAAAGCTGAATAATTAGTTTTCAATCAGTATCTAATACTTTAATTCCCTCAGGTAATGAATTAGAATGTACGGAGTAGCACCATGCTCAGGGATACCAGTCTAGATGAAAATCTATATTTAAAGACTTCTGTTTACTGAATTGCACGATATTCATGACTCTGTTAATTGAAGCACACTAGCAAAAATCACATCGCTACTTCATCTAAGTGACCCACAAATGTTAAAATTTTAAGCTATATATATATATATATACGTATATATATGTATAACTTTTTATTCTGGTATACTGTTACTAACCTGAGTGAAAACGCCACCATGCAAACCAAGGTAAGTATCAGAAGAGCACGATTCATTGAAAGCCTCATTTGGAGATTCATGTCCTTTTAACTGTGAGAAAAAAATTTCTTTCATTATTAAAAATTCAGTGGTGAAAAAAATAATAAGAAATTAACAATGGATGCTCGGCCTATTCAAAAATCAAACAAAATAATCATGCTCGAGAGCTTATCGTAGTAACTACACTGGAAAGAAAATGGCAAGCCAATCAATACCAAGCAACTTTTTAAAAACACAGCGGAAATTTACCGATCTGGTGTTGATAAGTCTGTTAACAATGGCGTTAGTCAGTAACAACACTCAGTGATAATTGACCAAAACAACGACGGAAGGGTAGGAATATTTGGGAAAATTGAACAAATGGTTACATGATAAATAATTTCTGGAAAAAATAGGTGCACCAGCAACAAATTTTAGTACGTTAGAAATAATTAAAAATAATGCAGTAGGCAGGATGGTAGGGCAGTTAAAAAGATCATAACTTGCAAGTGACAGCGGAAAAGGGAAGTTGTAAGTCTTTTACTTTCGAATAACCAGCGCCAATGTAGGAGAAGTGGACATACAAATTTATTTTGAACACACAGGTGGATTCATATATGTAGAAGATGAACTCGTAAAGTAAAATGAAGATTAGACGGAATAGGATAGATAACGTTAAGTGCCTTGTAAAAATCAACTTTATATTCAGCATTCTAAAGGCATGCTACAACAGAGTAACGAATAGACTTTGTGTTGTCTCTTCATTAACCATGCGCGATATTCACAAAATATGGCGAACATGCTTTAACTGCACTTCCAACATGACTAGCTCCACAGAATTAGACGACTGCAAAATACATATAAAGGAGGCGAACATAGGTAGTTTATCCTTATTTCTCGAAAGTGAAATTGAAGTTCTGAAAAGAGATTGTATTTCTGGCTTAAACTAACTATTGTGGACTTCATTGATTGATGCCGTGTTCTGCTTTGACCACCATTAGCTCTTTTCCAACCTGACCCTATGTCAGCTAGCTAACATTGTCTAGCGAGGAAAGCGATGCTCAGGAATACGTAACACATGTCCTAACCATCTCAATCGGTGTAACTTCACAGAGGTTTCCTCAGAAGCAATGATGTGCTGTGCACAACATATTGTTGTTTTCCAGATATGCCATGATAGATTTATTGATGATTATTTCCAGTGTCTTGATTGAGGTGCTGGCTGGACTGATAAGCCTGTAGTTTGTGGAGCATTGTCTTGGTCTTCTCATGTGGATGTTTACTATGGCGTCTTTCCAGTCCCGCAGTAACACTTCATTCAGGAGAGATTGCTTGAAGGTCGTAGTCAGTAGATCGGATATATCAGCTGATATCTCCTTGAGAAGCCATGAAGAGTGACGAGACTTATGGAAAGACTTTGAAGAAGTAGTTTTCTATGGCTTCTGCCTTTTCCTGGCCTTCTTCGACTGTGTCCTTGTCAATAGTCAGGTTTGGGACCCAAGTGGATGTCTTATTCCTGATGTTCATGTACGAGAAAATTTTCTTGGGTTGTGCCTTTGCATTTTGAGTCAGATGCGCTTCGAACTTCACCCTTAATTGGCGAATTTCTGCAATAGCCTTCTTCCTAGCGACGTTGTATAACATTCTTGTCTCAAAAGTCTCAAGTGTGATAAATAAGTTCCAGCATTTATCTTTACACCTGAGCAATCTATGAACCTCTCGGTCCATCCATGGGGACAATGTTTCCGACCCTTTGTACAGACCAAGGGATGAAAGGTTCGGTTACCTGAGCATAAAGTTGCTGAAATCGGTTCCATGCCGCTTCTACTTGTAACTCTGCATTTATGTACCAGTTCTTTATTTTGGCTGCTGAGACGATGGCATCTATATAAGCTTTCGAGATGCTTAGTCAGGCTGGGGTTTCGACCCATGATACTACTGCTATGAATTTGAAAGTGAGCACTGTGTGATCACTTCTTCCTAAGGGACGAAGATTTTTATGAGGTTCACATCCTCACCATGGTAGAACACAGGTCAAAGGTTGAAGAGGAGTGCTATAAGCCGTAGCTATAATTCCCTATCCTAACAACCTTCCTGGCACGGTAGGACCTGCAGGAACAATAGTTCCAGCCACTGTAGCTTGTTGGGTCATTGCTATGTGCGAGCCCGATCACCACGTCAAGGTAGCAGTTATCGGTTGGGACTCATGTCATCACCGAGAAACCGTATTTTTAGGAACACGGGATTTTGGGGAGCTGTTAACACACTAACTTACCCTGACAGTAAGTTCACATTTTTATCAACGAACTTTCCTGGATAACCAATTTTTAAGCTCTTCATCTGTAGCGAACTGTGAAGTCTAGGTGCTGACCATAATCAAAGCATATGACACTTCAGTCAGTAAACTTTGGTTAAGTCTGTAGACTGGGAAAACTAATGACTACTGACCGTAAATCATTCCTGAAAGTTTTTTTCCATAATTTAACCAGAAACGAAACTAATCAAAAAGAGTCTATATCTTTAAGAGAACATTGGACTCATCCGACTTCTTAATATACGTAAATGATGACAAACGTGGAAACTGGATTATTTTCACTTCCCTCCAAATGTCACTATTCAGTAGCAATACACAAAAATTAAAGGTGTTACAATGCACTTACTTCAGATGACATTATGTTAGTCTTATTAGTATTCAAACCAATATCTTTCAGCCAAGGATCACCAAACTGTAACAACCGACGAGTTGAGAGATCTTGCCAAAATGTTACATAATACTGGAAAATTCAGATAGAAAAATGAGTAATGGAAATAATGATAAGCACTGTCAAACACTACTCACGTTCAACAAAAGCTTAGATTGGGGAACCAGGAGTTAAAACGGTAGCAGTAATAATACTAACAATTATTATTATGATTATCATAACTATAATAGTAATAATAAACCTTAAAGAACAATACGCGAAACTCGCTTTAACAAAGAATTCTAAAAAGAAAAAATATTTTATGCAACACGCCAACTAACTTGATCGTTAGCCCACTCTAACATAACATCGTGAAGACACTTCATTGCATTCATTGTCAATATCCAACGTGTAGATCGAGGATCTTCAACACCATCAACAAGACATTTAATTAGTTGGTTGATCACTGAGGCCTTTTTAGTTCGGGGCTGAGAATTAGGTGAACGACCACCATGAGAAGAAAATAAGCTTCCGAATACGTTAGATGTTTCATTACCTTTTTCAGTTTTGCTTTTTGAAAGGGGACTAAGATTCATTGATGCATCAAGTTCCAGTTGACTGCGAGTCAACGATTCAACGCATTCGAAGTAAAACTCATGAATTAAATTCAACTGAACTTGTACAAATCTGGCTTGTGACACTTTATCAGACAGTTGTCGACCTCTGGAACTAACAGCGTGAAGAATCGCAATGAAATCATCAACGCACTGAGGTCTAAAGAGAGGAATGGCAACAAAATACTTTTCATATTCTGTATAAGTAAGTGAAGTTAAATACACGCATAATCATATCATAGATACCTTGTAAACTTTTTCAAAATATCACTTACCACAAGCTAATATATTCCGTGAAGCTCACTTTGTCAGAATCCAACGGAAAAGAAAAAGATGGGAGTAGTTTTTATTCAGTAATTTTTATCGGACAATCCTGTTTAACTCCTTTCACCAAAAAGAAAAGTTACTTAACTTTTGTAAGATAATGGACAATAAACTGTGCTTAAAATGTAATCCAGTTAATAATTTGATACCATGTATTTCTACCAAATAAACTTATATAGAATTACTCTCATCAACTTGTTAGTAACCATTCTGTGGGTGTGTAGTTGAGATCCAATCAGTACATTCACTTTCTGTCCTAAAAATTCCGATCGGCAGTGAGATATTTGGTATTAACTGCGCTGTCAGTTTAATTTTCAAGTGTTCCTTTAAGAGGGATTTGAGTGATTTCAAGTTTGATTACTCTAATTGACTTCGGATAAATACTCACTGAAAACCAGAGAGTATTGGACAAATGTGTTTAACACTAGTAGTATGGGTCTATTGAAAAAATCAAAAGCTGAGAATTAATCTGATGCTCAGCAGTAACTCTGACTACAGGATGGAGTTTCTTGTTGTAACCAGGGGGGTTCACTAAGTTAGGTGCGAGGACAGAATTTGTCGCAATAAATCTAGCCAGAAGGATATAACAAACAAGGAATCAAGCAGTACTAGCACATCTCAGCAATACACATAGACGAAATAAGCTGAGGTACTCGAAGTAACAGAAAGACGAGTAATTACGGAGTGCTTTTTGATTCAGTTGTGTTCTCTGAGCTTGTTGATTTAGTTGCTGAAGATGTTGTCTAGAAAAACAATGAAGGCTTTGAAATTAAATCAAATCAACCAGCTCAGAGAACACAACTAAATCAAAATCATCTACCATAGCTACAAATCTCCTCTATTATTTCAATGTACTGTAGTAAAGTGCTCGATAAAAAATGATTTAAGCAGTGAACTTATCTATGTCAGTACAGTATATTACTTTAGTGAAATCCCACAGTTCCCTTATGTAGGCACGTAATAATACACTGATGATATAAATCGGCAATCCAGTACAATTTCAAGTAGGTCACCAAGCAACATATGTTTTGACAAAGTATAAACAGTAAAATACACAAATTGCATTGTAACTAGTTGTTTTTTTAAGGTGACAACAAAAAAATTAATACATTCTAACAACACATTTTATAATGTGTACTTACCGCCCTTCACTTTCATCAACAACACACCAAGATGATGAACTTCCCAGAACAATTTTTAGTCTATCAGAAGCCAAATGTTGTTCTAGCAAAAGCCAACGTGAAAAAACTTTTGGATGCGAAAGTACATCGCTTGGTCTAGGATAATCAGGCGGATACATCATTTTAGATAACTTTGAATCTGTCTGTAATACAACATCAATTAAGTGGCTAAAATGTTCTGCATTATTCAATAGTCCACCGTCTGAATTACTAGGAAGACTAGGATAGCAAATAGCATTTGATATTTTAGAGTCAGAATCATGTTTTAAACTAAATTTATGACTGAATCGTAGTGGCATAGAAGTAGAAAGACCAAGGTCGTAGTTTAACTTGTCTAGCAGCAAAGTAACCAGACCGCGCATTAGTTCCAGCTAAATGAATAGACACAAAAAGAGGAAATAAATGTTTACTTGGAAAAATTAGGTAGGATGGCTCTAATATAACTTGAATTCCAATTACAAAGAAATAGCGACATTTCATATCACTGTCATGTCACTGGAACTAACTACAGTTCAGTTTTCACCTACTGAACAAAAGTCAAGCGTATATATTCAGATTGGAAAAAATTATGTAAGTAAGCTAGAAACAGTATAGCATTTGCTTCTATCGGCGCGCCTTCCATCACTTGTTGACTTTGGTCACTTAGAACAAACAGTAAACACTCCTTCACGGTCGCCATAGGAAAATAATGCCCTATGGTTATACACTGCTTGATCTTTTCTCTGCTTGAGAATACTCATATGAAGTTATGCGACTCACTGCAAACAACTTAGAACTAGAATAAATCACTAAATTGACTTTTTATTAAAACTCCCAACTTACATTCCATGGTGACCTTCTGAATCATGTTAACTGTAATTTCATGGCACATGTTAACTGGATAACAGTTAGGCTGAAAGTCCTTGTCATCATAAAATAAGAAACTTACTTTATAGTGGGAATTTGTACTGCTGGAGGATGAAAGTGCAACAGCAGTAGAGTGTTTCAATAAGAAGATCAGCAAGCTAGAAGTGCTGCATTTCCATACTGAAGAAAAGGGGTTTAAATTGGTTGACACCGAAAATTCTACATTCTGATTAACTGTACTATGATGTTTAACCATCAGGATGGATGAAACTCTACAAAATCTACTTCCGGACAGGCTATGTGTGAATGCCCTTAAGTAGTCATACACTGGTAACGCAACACTACTGTGTTTTCTTTTTCTTCAAACAGGAGTGGAAAACACCAAACACCATCATAAACACACAAAGTCATTTTGTTCATCCCCCACTTTCCTCATCTTTCGCATTTCATCTTACTATCTTTACTTTTCACATTCTGCATTTTCTCCTAACTATGACCACTGCTAAAAAAAATAAGCCACAGGAAAATGATTCCTGGTTAAACAGAACCACGTTGACAACTTACAATTGGAGTTTCCCATCTCCAAACCATACACCTAACCAGAAGACAGACTCTGCTAGCCAAACCCTAGAATTTCTTGCTTCAGAACAAACACACAAGACTAACATGGAGAGGATACACAATTCCTCACACTGGTATCAGCAGAATCTGGCTAGTTACCTTTTACTTCTTTCTGTAGCGTAAGAATTAACATCATGAAAGTTAATATTCAAATAGATCACAGGGAACCGTTTTCCGTGTACAATCCAACTGGAAGTTTAAGTAAAAAATGAAGAAAGATCATGATAATCGCATATGCTTTCTATTAATCTACAACTACGAAATCATTGACTGAAGCTCACAAGAAGAAAGGATGAGTCTTATTAGAAGTTGTCCGATTTCCAGATAATATCAAAGCAATAAGAAGTATTCTTATAGGCGAGTGGTTTAATTACTTATATGGGAAAGCTTAACCGGTCCCACTTCTTTGATTTAATATAAACATTTACACTAAACTGGAGGCGTCAACAACAAACCAACTGCAGTGAAGGCTTTTCACAACTTTTTTCAGATGACCATTTTTACCTAGCCAGCGCTACCTTCAAACATGAAAAGAGACTTTGTCACACCAGGTGACCACCAAAATCGAGACAATTAGTCACATATGTACCAATGGATGTGACTCTAGTCGGCTTTGATGTTTAGTGCAAGTCTCACTGATCTAGAGTATGCATATGACATTTTCGCCTTAAATATAGACACTGACAAAATAAAGTCTTCTGAAGACCTCAAGCGATAATATGTTTAAAATACCATTCACTTCTACTGAATATAAAATAATGTTGCGAGACTGAACTACACTGACTCCTTGTTTAAGAAGTAAAATAGTTAAATGTGTTGATCACTTGACCTACTTCTAAAAAAGATGCTAACCTTAAAAGCTGATTGGTGGTGAAATTTCAGCACAGATACAAAAGGTCCTCTCGATATCAGTCAAATGTGTCATCTTTGGCGTTGCCAGGATATCCAGTTATAGATCACACGACGTGTCTACTGAACAGCAGTTCACTTTACGGCCAGACATGGCCAATAGAGGTAAAAGATATGACAAATGAGCGGTTTTCAACCGCTGGTACCTCTATTCAATCTCTTGCGCTAGAGAAAGAAGCAACAATGAGGTTAAGCGAAAAGTTTTAGGCACTAACAATTAACTGGGTTTCACAACTCCATGGATTGCGACGGCCAAGACATGTGTTATACAAGGCATATCTCCAACTTTCTTGACTAGCAACGTTAAATATCACGGAACCAGGTTGGGAAAAGCTTACTACTGGTCAGACCAAAATATGGCACCAACCAACGAATTCTTTAATCAATGGCTTCGGCCACGTAGGAAAGTGTGAGCTGCCTAGTTGGGTTTCTCGAAATACTAAGCATCAGCGGTTTCAGTCGTAGTGATAACCATTAAAATTATTCACAATGGCACAAATATGTTTGCATCTTAGAGAAGCATCAATAATTTTCATCTAGTTGTTCATTATACCACATTTTTTTAGTCATTTAACTTTCACTAAATTTCCTTTCTTTACTTTTATGTGTGCTTCTCCAAAATGTGACAATTTGGACTGGTCAAACTTAATCCCGAATAAATCAGAGGTGTGATGCTAGCTACCTTAGTCAGTGTAAGGCCTATGGAAATGGAAACAACACAGATTACATCATCGAAACTTCTGCTGGAACAAAATTCTACTTAAGAAATCTACTTAATTATTACTATTCTATTGGGTAACGAATGGAAAATACGGCTTCAAAAACACATCCACACTCTCTTCTATTTTCTGCCGTCCTCGCCAGCTCGCCCCACGATTCCCCACAATCTCTCATCTCCTCTTCGCACAACCTCATCCACGTCACTCTCGAAGTCACGACCCACTCGCCGCTTGCAATTCGGATTCCACTTCAGCACTGGTCTGACTCACGATGTCATTTGACAGTCTCCTCAACGTATGCCCGATCCATCTCCATTTTCTACTACATATTTGTTGAGCAATCGGTTCTTGGTTGGTTTGTTCTCAGCCAGAGTTTCTTGTTGCTAATTATTTCTGGCCGGCTGGCCATTGCATCTTCAGTATAAAGACAGCCAGCGAAGGAGGCAGCTATTGATAAAAGTCTGTAGCAGGCTGTTGGGAATGCTTTTCGTGACATGCAGTGCAAGTTTCTGAACCACATCGAAGGACCGAATGACTTCACATTTGTGTTGAAAATCTGAATCTTGTTCTTCATGCTGAGACAGAGTGCAATGCAGAAGATTTCCAAACTGGTTTCAGGTTGATAGAGGCGTGAGTATCTTCCCTTACCGATTCTGGCTGGCTGGCTGGCTGGTTTTGACATCTTCATCCGTTCTGTTATCCTGTGGTTGGAACGATGCTTCGTAGATAAATGAAGTCAGGAAGTAACCTCTGTTAAATCTGTCCCGTTGATGGTGATTGGTGCTGGTTGCTGTTGTATCTGCTGTGGTTGGCTGGTTATCTTCATCACTTCTGTCTTGTCTCTGTTCACCTGGAGTTCTGTCTTCACTGACTGCCAGCTTCTTCTGCCAGTTTGTTGGTTTTTGCCTGCCCGTGAGTCTTCGAGTTTGTGTGACATTAGACATAAATCATCCACATGCGAAAGTCTTAGTATCGGTGGTCCAGAGTACTCCTGTCTCCTCGCTCCCAAGCTCAGTCTGACGCATACTCTAGTCCACCTCTGTCTGTTTGTCGGGTTTCACCATAGAACTTTGCACCAATGCGCAACAGTTCGAGTCGTCACACTCCATACAGCACACAAAGCCAGAGAAGAGCGCAAAAAGAAATGCAAAATAGTAACAGTAAACAGCGATATTAGGCAAAAAGGATAGTAATGTGGAAGAATATAGTTTTTTTTGGTATAATAAATCATAAAGAGTGAATGTATCTGCGCCACTGAGAAGGATTTTGAGCCATATCACAAATTGCCTCCAGCCATTGGTTTTCACCATAACGACGAACCCAACCAAGAAGTCGAAACCTCCGTAAGCGGCTTAAACTAACTGCTGTGGGCTTCCTTGATTGATGCCGTGTTCTGCTTTGACCACCATTAGCTCTTTTCCAACCTGACCCTATGTCAGCTAGCTAACATTGTCTAGCGAGGAAGGCCATGCTCAGGCATATGTAACACATGTCCTAACCATCTCAATCGGTGTAACTTCACAGTCTCCACGTTTGATTTACTCTCCTTACCTAGCGTTCGACTGACGCCTAACACCGATATTACTCACCCTATTATATCACCTAAAAAAGGAGATACAGCTCAAACACCCATTATCAAAGACAGTCATCCTTTTCGTATCTCCCACTTTCAGTGGCCATGTCTCACGGCCATAAAGGAGAACAGTGCGAAATGCTGAGCAGTACACACGTCCTTTAGTCGATAGCCGGATATCGCGTCTACGCCAGAGAGAGTGTAAACTGGCATATGCGTCACTAGCCTTCTGTATCCGAGCTGAGATTTCCTCAGAGATCAACCCACTGGGACTGGCTGATGCAACTTCCCAAATAAGTGAAGTGCTCAACGTGCTTTACCACTTCACTCCCTATTTGTAAACTAGGAGTCAGTGTAGTCCAGTGCTCTAGCATCATCTTACATTTGGCAGGCGCGAATCACATGTCAAACATTCACAGATTGCAGCTCAAGGTGTTTAGAAGACTCTGCATTTTGTCAGTGTCTTTACCTAGAAGGACTATATCATCTGCACATTCTAAGTCAACCAGATTATTCCCTCGTGGTAACAAGTCAATCGCTGAGTCGCTAAAGTCACTTAGGATTCAATCCATTAGTAGTACATCTATGATGAAATTGAATAGAAATAGGGACAGTGGACGTCCCTGACGGACACCACTAGTTCTAACCACTTCAGATGACAACTCGTCGTAACCTCTCAACTGGCTGACTGTATGAGTTAGAGTAGAGTGACTGGCCTGATCAGTGCAATGCATTTTCTCGGAATTCCCTTTACAGTCAAGCATCGCCAGAGTTCTTCTCGGTCGACAGAATCGAATGCCGCTTTCAGGTCAAGAAATATAACGATTGTTGGACGCCGGTAAGTATGCAACCAGTGTTACAGAATCTGTCACAGGGTGAAGATATGATCGATACACCCTCTTCCTGGTCTAAAGCCTGTCTGGTTCTCTCCTGTTTGTTCCCTCTATGGACCGCTTAGTCTACGCATTATTATTGAGCCTAGAACTTTGGATGCCACCATATTAGTCAAGCTAATCCCCCTATGATTATCCCAAGAAGACTCGTCTCCCTTCTTGTGTATGGGAATAATCAGTGACTCACACAAACCCGATGGGACGTTCCCTGATTCCCAGACACTTCCTAGTACCTCAGTTAACGCAGACAGTAAACTGTCTCCACCATACTTAAATATCTCTGTAGCCGTTCCATCGGGTCCTGCTGCTTTGCATCGTTTCAGACTAGTGACAGCCTTAGTAACCTCAGTTAGGGACCGATGACCTGTGTCTATATCACATTCAGGGAGGTGTTGGATGTTTGGTAAGTTGAGCGTGGCTGTAGGCCAATTAAACTGCTCCTCAAAGTGTTCTTTCCAGCGTTCCAGTCGTCTATCCTGGGAGCTAATTATGGTGCCATTTTTTCAGAGATTGCGTCACCTATTACTTGCCTTATACCAAGTGTTTCCCTGATAAGTCGAAATAGTTGTCTGGTGTCACCAATCGCCGATGCCTCTTATATCTCCTTTGCTTTTGTCGCCCACCACTATTCATGGTCGTTGTTAAGACTTCTTGTTAGTTTGCGCTTGAGTAGCTTTCGGTCCTCATCATAATAGGAGCTCGCCGGAATCAGTCTTCTTGTGTCAATCACTTCCGATAAGGTGGTAGAAATCCAATGGCTCTTAATAACTTTAGGTTTCAGGTTATTAACAGCTTTGACAGATATGTCTACAGCTAACTGTATGTTGTGCCCGGATACCTAAGGAGGAGTACTGCTATCCACCTCAGGTACTCGTTTCGCTATTTCTCGCTTAAATAGGGACTCAAAGTCTCGATCTAGTTGGGGACGGAACTGTTTCGCTGCCAACAATTTCCTATGTCCGTTTAGTCGTAAACGTGCGCGAACCAGAGCGTGATCAGAGTCTACGCACGTGTTCCAGAAGGAGCGCCAGTCTTCTACTGACCCTCGCGCACAATACCCTATCGCTATGTGGTCTAGCGTTGATTTGGTGACGGAGGTCGCCAGGTTACACAATGTCTCTCTTTCTGACTGAAGTTAGTGATGACTAGGAACAGATGATTATCTGAACAGAACTGTAGAAGACCATCACCGTTGTCGGTTTGCAGCAGGCAACTCCATACGTACCACCTACATACTTCTCAGTCTGGCACAACTTCCCTACTTTGGCATTGAAGTCGCCTGCTAAAACAACTATGTCTAAACATCTTGCTTTTTGCACCAAATTAGACAGTCTCAGGTAGAAGTCGTCCTTTAGTTCATCCGAACTGAAGTCTGTCGGGCCGTAAGCGGAGACTACGAAAGCATAACGACGGGTAACGCCGTCTTTCCTTCTAACGGACCCGTTCACACGGACCGCATACATACGAATATCTATTGGGATCCAGTCAAGAAGTGATTTTTCTGCCCTAACACTCAATGCTACCCCTACACTTGCGAGTCCTTGCGAACTAACTAAGGGGCCTCCTGACACCTTTAAAGTGAATTTCGCAGATTCACCTTGTTGGCAGGGTGAAGTTAAGTGAATGACTACACTCGGATCTTGTATGCGTGTCTCCGAAACACAACATACATCCATGGCTCGAGATGCCAGAGTTCTTGCTAGTGATGCTTGTTGTCCGATTCGGCAGAGGGTCCTGACGTTAAACGCTCCTATATGAAGTTGACAACGTGGCTTCAAGAGGCTGTTGGGGATGCTTCTATGGCTCTCATCGTTGTTTGTGGTCACAAAGTGAAGTGAAGACGACTCACTAGTCTGAAGAATAGTACCGACTGTAAAAGGGGGTAAAGATGATGAGATTGATGTGGATAAAGAAGAATGATGATCAGTAGGGCTTCGTGTGCCTTTGGAAGTATGTGGGTGGCTGCTGGTCGTCCACACCATGGATGTTGATTTTTTCATAGGGAACCTATAATAAAAACAGAATTAATATTGCTCTACCACAGAGCCCAGGGGACACCTGCTTCAGGCCGGCCGGTCGCACACGGCCTGTATGAACTGGTCTCTTGGTCTCGTATTAGTACACCTACCGCCGGTTACGGACCACCGTAAGGTAAGTCGGGATGTACAATTGTTAGGGTCGACCTTCTCAAACGTCCTCTCTCCAGAGTGGAGAGACACCATAGCTGGCTGGAATGCTGGTCACCTGAAGGGAACACCTCACTGCTGTTACATCCCTGTTCCTCAGCAGTACGACTTCGCCCACAGACCCCCAGCATAGTGTTAAAAAAATTCGTACACTAAGCCGATAACTACTTTTAGTCTAATCGCGATCCTAACAACCTTCCTGGCACGGTAGGACCTGCAGGAACAATAGTTACAGCCACTGTAGCTTGTTGGGTCATTGCGATGTGCAAGTCCGATCACCACGTCAAGGTAACAGCTATCAGTCCACCACAATTAGGAATATCGTCGTGGGTGATGATACGCAGGTGGACTTGTCTTACTCCTGTATGCACTTCAAACGCCTTGCTGAGTTTTCCGTTGCGGATCACCTGGCACGTGTCATTGTCATGTAGCCAGCTGTTGAATGAGGTTGAGGAATATTTGAGAAATGCACGCCGTAGTGTTGAAGTAGTCGCCAAATTACTTATCGGTCAACACTCTGTCAAAGGCCGTTTCGAAGTCAATGAAGTTGAGGTAGAGGGTTTGACTGCCATTCTATGCTTTGTTCTGTGATGACGATACGTAGAGTAGCAATTCGATCAGTATATGATTGGCCTTTCCTGAATCCAGCTAGTTCAGGCGGGCTGACTGTATCCAGTGCATCTTTTATTCTCTCCATGATGACACGACTTAGCACTTTACTTGGTGTGGACAGGAACATTATTCCACGCCAGTTGGTGCAGGGGCCTGATTCGCCCTTCTTTGGTAGCTTGTTAAGGCAGCTTATCGGTAGGCACCTTTCCTTCATTCCAAACCTGTTGCAATAGTGGCATGAGCACATTTGCTGCAGTCTCGGGTCCGTTTACAGTAATTTAGGGGGTATTCCATCTGGTCCTGCTGCTTTCTCAGACTTCAGTAGCTTGGTCGCATTCAGGATTTCTGCTTTCGTTTGAGTATTGGTTTCCACTGGCAGGCAGTTATATGCGTGCTGTTGTTGGTGGTGGTGGTGTATTTCAGGGTGAATTGCAGGTGATGGTCCGTTCAAGAGTCCTTTGACTTGACCAACCCATTATTTTATTTGTTTCCCCTCCTTGGTAATCAGGTTCCCTTGAACATGTTTTATTGGTTTCATCAACTGGGTTGGTCTCTTCCCGGATAAGACCTGGTTATCTGATATGTTCTGAGGTCTCTTCTACCTCCGACCCGTTCTCCTTCAGTTGACAGTGTGTCGTAGAATTGTCTTTTGTCCTTCTTAGCATTCTTTATTTCTTTATTCAATCTCCTTAATAAATAACCCTGATTCGTCCTGAACGAAAAAGATGACTACCAGTTTGATGATGCAATTTAAATTAAAACACAGTTACACTTCTCGTACTCCCCATTATCTTCGCCAATATTTGTTGCATTATGCGTGAAGCTTAATCCACAGCAAATAACTTACACAAACCAAATATCATGAGATTCACAATACACAACAATGACAGTGATGAGAAAGGCCTGAGTAACGCTAAGTAAGTCTCATAGGTGATAATACCATTTTGGAAATAGAGAATACTGATAACTGCAGAGATTTAATCTAACAATGACTGAAAACGTCTGCTCAAAGTTATGTCACATTTTGTTTGCGCACCACCAAACAGTCCTCTGTGGACATAGTTCTATGAAAATTACTGAAATAGAAGGGATTATGAGTCATTTTAAGGAAGTCGATTGCCTAAGCTAATGTACCATATGTCCATATTGCTAAAATATCACAAATAGTGTGGCAAAACTCGTAAAATAAAAAAAATTAAGTATTGATTAATTACTTACTCAGATATGAAACAATCTCAAAGGTAAACGCGTCATGAAAAAAAAACCAAAAACTTACACGAACACTAACAGCAGATGCATTTCTAACAGAGATAAAATCACGATCAACAACTGTGATAAAGTAATCGTTTGCTCGAATCCATTGAAGCACTTGTGACATATACCACTCAGGCTAAATAAGATAATCTCAATGTGATCATTTGAATATTTATGAACATACCATATCGATTCTATTCGTCTTCTGAGTACCACAAAAATGATATCGAAAACGCTTTTCCATGGGGGAGAGAATAATATGCATCGGTAAACATACATCTGCTAGTAATGGTTTTGACAATAAGATATTTAAATGACTGATGAAAAGTGAATTATAAGGCGTCAACAGCTTATAGATTGTGTATATACATATATATATCATTCAAGAAAATCTGGAGGTGTCTGAACAGCTAGACCACTATTTCTACCTCTGAAGTGATGTCTCTTAAGGATCATATTGATACAATTTAACAATTTGTATATATACAAATTAACACTAGTAATTTTTCGAGAATATAACTGGTGCCACAAGTAAAACTGTTCACCACACAACCAATACACATTTCTCGGAAAGTATCGGCAGCCTATACAAAATATCTAGTCAATCAAGTGACATCGACCTATAGATGCAGAAAACACCTTCAACTAAAGTGGCTTAAATCTGTGTGCCTTTGGGTGGAATTATCCCTCCTTTGAGAGACAGCTTTTAAAGTTAGCATTTCAAGGGAGACAAACGAATACTTTTTTTAAAAAGTTCAAATTTGTTGAAGAAATAACTTGTCATTAGTATAAACTTATTATATGCATTGTTTACCAAGAAATTTAGAAAATTTCTTATTGAGTGTTATGCATTCCATCTCTCAAAGGATACGAAATATTGAACGACGAAAGAGCGTGGAAATCACGGGAGAAAATTTGTAAATCATCATCACACCACGTCTGACAGCGTTTGTCATCAGAAACTCCCATTACAACAATGGGGATGTTTAGTTTTTTTAACAAAGACTTGAAATCCCTATATATGAAATACATTGAATTAGTTCACCTTACAGCATTAGATAAGTCAGGGAATTCAAACATGTTTCATGTTGCTCAGTACATTTCAAAATGTAGTCGCAGATTTCAGGATTAGCAGATAACTGAGCATCAACAAAGGAGAAATATTGCTTTAATGCATTAGCCAATGTAGTTTTGTCATGCATTACTCTTGCAGCCAATACAGAAGATCTTGATTGGGGATATAAGAATTTAAAATAATTACTCAAGAGAAGATAAATGTTCAGAAAACTCGAGCATTCGTAGTCGCTTTTCTGAAATTTTACACGCTTCTACTCCTGGATATGCAAAATCGTACAAAGAGCCCACTTCCGGGAGTATATTTGTCATCTTTATTTGGTTACGGGAAACGCCTTCAAATAGCTTCTCCATGCGAAGTTTCAACTCTTTAGCGTCTTGACAAATATCAGAAAATTCACATTTTTCTGAAAGAAAGATCTATAGTACGACTTTCGAAAACAAAGACATCAAACTTACTACTTCTTTCAGCCGGTTAATTTTGTTCGTAATGTCTTCAATGGCTGTTACAAGTTGTTCCTTTATGTTTCCCGTGGGGCGAACAATTTCATTGAGTTGTTTGGTGTATTTATCTAGGGACATAACTCCTGATATCAACAAAATTATCAACCTAAACATCAAAAATTAAGACGTTGGAGAGTATGAGTCAAGCATTATATCACTGATAACGCATGTTAGAATCGAAGGGGATATATATACATATATATAACACTATAGTTATTTTCCAGCCATTTTTTTGAAACGCATTGGTATATAGCTAGTTATATAATAATTGTTCCTAAGGTCATATATGAATCCTGTAGTCACGATTCACTTTGAAAATTATGCCTACAAAAAGAAACCGTTGCGGAATACTTATGTGTCAATTCACAGTTGACGAAGACATGCAAAGTGACAGCTGCAGGTGTTGGTTCCATAGCACGTGCACAAACCTAACCTCTACAGCATACAAACACTACTGCAAACCTCTAGCGAAATGGCTGTGCAATGATTGCTGCAGCAAAAGTGAATTCCGTATTAAAGAAGCCTTTGCCATGCTCAGTGGGGCACTAAGGCTTCTGCACTGCAAGAGTCCTCCACCACAGGAGAGGAGCAGCAACCTAATCAAACCTCGCTTAGGAAAGTTACTACCAACAACAGTATCAGCGTGTAACTATTCACGGCTAGTATAGAATCGGCCAAAAGGGTGACTCTACAGTAAACCAACCGGTATGCCTTCTTCAAGTCGTACTGAACTCAAAAACATGGAGGGGTGTTATACCAGGCAACTCCCAAACTTAAAGCATCAGACATATACGTCCGTGCTGTCTTATACCTAGCAGACCTCAACAAAAGAAGTCTGTGGCTCCAGAATTAAGCGAATGGGGGGCCGAAATGGCTAGAAAAGCCTTACGATTAAGGGTTATTGAGTTGTCAAGGTTCGAATTCTGATGAACCTTAAATACTCTGTGGATGGGGCGCGGAAGCACCGAACTGAGTTAACAGTTTGCCACACAAATGCCCGCAGCCTGTTGAACAAACGGACTGAGCCTTGTATTATAGTACATTCCGGAAATCCAGATATGGTTATCATCACAGAGACATGGCTCACATCCGATGTGACACTTCACAATGCACAGGGGGACCTATTAATCCGCAGAGGGGGTGGCATAGTCACCTACCTCAAGAAATGCCTAACCATGCGTGGCATCGAAGCTGTCACACACGAAAATGGAACATGCGAGCTTCTACGGCACAGACTTAAATGAATAGGTCAAGATACTGACCTCATTGCTATATACCGCAGTCCCGACTACAATGCAGACGACCTCCTAGTAGAAAAGCTATGCTCCTGAACATCTCAATGTTGGAGTCAACTGACTGACTAACTGGTTTTGATATAGAGCTTTGCACCAGTTCGAGTTGCTACACTCCAGGCAGCACACAGAGCAAAGGAGTACGGTAAAAACAAATGCAAAACAGTGACAGTAAACAGCGATATGAGGCGAAGAGAATAGTAATATCGAAGGATAAAATAGTTTCATTGGAAATTATAAGTCACAAGGAGAGGATGCATCTGCGCCACTGAGAACGATTTTCAGCCGTATCACCAGTTGTCTCCAGCCATTGGTGTTTACCGTTCTGAGGACCCCAACCAAGAAGTCTAAACCTCCCTAAGTGGCTTAAACTAACTCTTGTGGACATGTCGGAGTCGCGTAGTCGGCAACTTAAACGACCAGACAGTTAACTGAACGAGCCCCATAACGCCATCTTCAGAAAACCCCCTTGACTATAAACTGTTGGAACCTAGTGTTTCGCTAGACTTAGTGCAACATGTCATGAAGCCCACGGCTTATAGCACTCCTCTTCAACATTTAACCTGTGTTCTACCATGGTGAGGATGTGGACCTCATAAACATCTTCGTCACTTAGGAAGAAGTGATCACGCAGTGCTCACTTTCAAATTCATAGCAGTAGTATCATGGGTCGAAACCCCAACCTGACTAAGCATCTCGAAAGCTTATATAGATGCCATCGTCTCAGCAGCCAAAACAAAGAAGTGGTACATAAATGCAGAGTTACAAGTAGAAGCGGCATGGAACCGATCTCAGCAACTTTATGCTCAGGTAACCGAACCTTTCATCCCTTGGTCTGTACAAAGGGTCGGAAACATTGTCCCCATGGATGGACCGAGAGGTTCATAGATTGCTCAGGTGTAAAGATAAATGCTGGAACTTATTTATCACACTTGAGACTTTTGAGACAAAAATGTTATACAACGTTGCCAGGAGCAAGGCTATTGCAGAAATTCGCCAATTAAGGGTGAAGTTCGAAGCGCATCTGACTCAAAATGCAAAGGCACAACCCAAGAAAATTTTCTCGTACATGAACTTCAGGAATAAAACATCCACTTGGGTCCCAAACCTGACTATTGACAACGACACAGTCGAAGAAGGCCAGGAAAAGGCAGAAGCCATAGAAAACTACTTCTTCAAAGTCTTTCCATAAGTCTCGTCACTCTTCATGGCTTCTCAAGGAGATATCAGCTGATATATCCGATCTACTGACTACGACCTTCAAGCAATCTCTCCTGAATGAAGTGTTACTGCGGGACTGGAAAGACGCCATAGTAAACATCCACATGAGAAGACCAAGACAATGCCCCACAAACTACAGGCTTATCAGTCCAGCCAGCACCTCAATCAAGACACTGGAAACAATCATCAATAGATCTATCATGGCATATCTGGAAAACAACAATATGTTGTGCACAGCACATCATTGCTTCTGAGGAAACCTCTCATGTCAAGGTACAAAAGGCGCAGTGACGCAATGTAGTGTATTCCTAAATCCATCCCAAGTTTCCAAGTCGGAGTTTTTTTGGACCTGGGATATGTGGGTAAAAGCATGGGAATTTTCCGTTCGAAATTGAGCGAAGTGGGAAAGAGTGGGCTGTTTTCGGTTGTAGAAAAAAGTAAAGTGGGAAATAGTGGGTAAAGTGTTCGTTGAAAAAGTGGAACAATAAATTTTTTCCGGACATGGGCAAACGGGGAAAAGTGGCCAGTGTGGTAAAGTGGGTTAATTATGACGCATTTTAACCCCATTTTTCCCATGTCTGTGTCGATCAAAATTACCAGTTTAGCCCACAGTGCCCAGGCGCATTTTCTGACTGGGTCGATGTCGACCAGACTGCAGTCTGGTGTGTATCAACAGAGCAGGCAGCTAGAGTTGCTGCATTTCAGGTTGCAGGTATATTCGCTTTCCAATTAAATGGGCGACCTATGTATGACAGCGTGAGTCTTAGACGTAAAAGTGATAACTACCCAAGCTTACTATAGTGCTGAATTAAATCCCACTAATTCTGAACTAGCTGTAACATTCAATAATGAGTAAATTCTGAAATGGTTTGATTAGGCTCACAGACTAGAACTTATTGCTGGTTTTCAACATGACTGGCACCAATCCAGCACTCTGCTCTTTCTCTAGGCATTTTTAGAAGTAGATCAGAACCTATTGGGTTTGCTTATCAGCATTGTTTCAGCCCTCTGAGCCCATATTCAGCACTGACTAGCATTACTTCCGGACAAAAAGACTTAAGTCAGCGCAAAGTGGCTATTTTTCAGCTTTTTTCCAGCATTAAGAGCATTGTTTCAGCTGTAGATCTTGTTTTCAAGCTTTCGTTGTATTAATTAGGCGCCCAGTGCTGTTTCTAAGATCAACGAGAGTTAAACTGAAATTATTTCAGTAGAGAGTGGGTTCATGTTAAGTAGATAAAATATTCCTTTACCATAATAATGCATTATTGACGCATAGGTTATAGTTAGTTTAGATTTATTGTAAGCTTGGAATTTTTCCGCATAAAACTCAGCTTCATAACAAAATATATGTATGGTCATTACTACCTAGCAGCACTAGGCGCCTAATGTCACCTCTCATACATGATACCGTAACTTCGCCATTTGGTAAAAATTGCTCATCAATTAAGACTGACCGAGAAAATTAAGACAGTAAAGATTTTGAAATGTACTATTCTTACGTCAAGTGAATAAAACTTCAAATTTGCGGATGCCCTTCAGTTTGTCAGTACCAACATCCAATAGCCAATGATTTAGTTGGGCTTCTGTAAAGTGTATAATTTCCCCGTGCTAACTTACTGTTGCTTATAAATCTTGACAGGTTTCTGATGGATACCGTTTCAACTACAGTAGCTTTACTGAACAGTGGATTTTACACGCTTTTGTTTAGTTTTGACTTTTGTTGTGTTATACGCTCCAAAAGTCTACAGATTAACTTTAAATCAGTTTATTCTGATGGACGTTAGTTTACGTTTTATTTCTGAGTCTATTAAATTACAGGAAGTTATATATATTTGTGTACTCATTGGCTTTTTATCACTGATTTATAAAGGTTATATACATATAAAGTCATATTTAGATTGTTTTTCCCTAGTTCGCTCTAAAAAGCATGCCGATCAAAAGAAACCGCTGCGGAAGGGTTATGTGCTAATTTCCAGTGGATGAGGGAATGCAGTGTGATAACTGCAAGAGATGGTTTCATAGCATGTGCACAAACATAACTCCTGCAGCATACTAACTCTGCTGTAAACCTCTAGCAAACTGGTTGTGCAATGGCTGCTGTAGTACTACTAAATTCCACTCTCAGTGGGGCTCTAAAGCTCATGGACTGCAAGGGTCTCCCACCACAGTAGAAGATCGACTAGTGCTCACACAATGATGGCGTGACAAGTGTCATCGACAAAACAGCGCATGTCCTTGATGCGACTCCGTCAATGAGTGGGTGCCCTTCAGCAGAGAAGAGCACCCACCATATTCCAGACACCCGCGCTACCCCCACGATACCGGATAAGCCCTCCAGTGACAGTAACGGAAAGACTGCCACGAAGAAGAGGCGTGCCAGGAGTCGAAAACCTGCAGCTCAAGCCGCCCAGGGACTGGTAGATCAAGCCTCATCCACACCGGTGAATAGCAGGCAGATAAATCCTACTACGATTAGCAAGGAGGACGCCAATGAATGGCGTAATGTAGTCTCTCGCAGAAAGCGAGATAAGGATAACACATCAGCTTCACAGTCCACGAAGGACAGAAAGACACTTACGCCGCAGAGCAAGAAAGCCACGGCAAGCAATCCTGATCTCTCTGACAGGTCCCTCATTCTCCACAAAGTTGAAGAATCACTGGCCCCCGATCCCAGGGCCAGATTTGAGCATGACCTTAACTTGATCAAGCCTCCTTTAGATAAGCTACTGCCACAAACAGTATCAGGCATTACAATACTTAGAGTATATAGGATCGGCCAAAAGCCTGACCCTACAGTAAACCAGCCTGTACGTCTCCTCAAAGTCGTACTAAACTCTAAAGAAGAGAGGGGTGCTATTCTAAGCAACACTCAAATTCTTAAAGGATCAGGCATATATGTCCATGCCGACTTAAGCCTAGCAGACCATGGCAAAAGACAGTCTGCGGCCCTAGAATTAAGCGAACGACGCCAAAACAGCGAGAAGAACATTAAGATTAGGTTTTTCGGGTTGTCCAAGTTCGCAGTTTAATGATCCCGAAACCTCTGTGGGTAGGCCGGGGAAGCACCAAACTGAATAATAATAATAATGATTTACTTTATTCCCAAAACAGTACTTGTGATACATAATGGAATTTTCAGCATTAATCACAATATTGCATCACAATATTGACAGTTTGCTACACAAACGCCCGCAGCCTGTTGAACAAACGGACTGAGCTGGTTAACATGATAGACTCTGGAGACCCGGATGTAGTTATCATCACAGAGACATGGCTCACACCCGATGTCACTGACAACGAAGTTAACCTGCCAAACTTCGAAGTGCACTGGGTGAACCGACTAAACTGCAAGGGAGGTGGCGTAGTCATCTACCTCAAGAAATGCTTAACCATGCGTAGCATCGAAGCAATCACTCACGAAAGTGAGTCGTGCGAACTTCTACGCTGCAGACTTAAATGCATAGGTCAAGACCTCATTGCTATGTACCGCAGTCCTGACTGCAGTGCAGATGACTTCCTAATAGAGAAGCTAGGCTCCTGGATTTCGAAATGTCGAAGTTTCGTAGTCGGCGACTTCAACGCCTCAACAGTTGACTGGACGAGCCCTACAAATCCATCTTCAGTCAGCTCCTGGAATACAGTATATCGCTAGCCCTAGTCCAACATATCATTAGGCCCACGCTCTATGACTCACAGCACTCCTCCTCCACTCTGGACCTAGTGTTCTCCCACCGTGAGGATGTGGATCTCATACAACATCTTCCTCCTTTAGAAAGAAGTGGTCACGCTGTGCTCACTTTCAAGTTCACAGCAACAGCAGCAAGGGCCAATACCTCAATTCGACCAAACGTTTGGAAAGCTGATATAAATGCGATCATCTCAGCAGCCAAATCAGTTAACTGGTATATCAACCCAGAGTCTCAACTAGAAGCCGCATGGAACCAATTTAAACAACTTCACGCCCAAGTAACTGAACCTTTTACCACTTGGTCTGTCCTGAAGAGTCGGAAACATTGCCCCCTTGGATAAACCGGGAGATTCGTAAGTTACTCAGGCGTAAATACAAATGTTGGAACCTGTTTGCCGCACTTGAGACTCCTGAGACCAGGAAATTATGCAACACCGACAAGAACAAAGCTATTGCAGAAATTCGCCAATTAAGGGTGAAGTTCGTAGCGCATCTGACTCAAAATGCAAAGGCACAACCTAAGAAAATTTTCTCCTACATGAACTTCAGGAATAAAACATCCAATGTTGTCTCAAACCTGACTATTGACAATGATACAATCGAAGAAGATCAAGAAAAAGCAGAAGCAATGGCAGACTACTTCTCCCAAGTCTTCACTCAGGAGTCATCACTCCCTTTAAGATCAGCTCTGGCTGTATCAGAGGAATACGGAGTAGATGCCGTTGACATCGACCAAGGCATCGTGCTCTACTGCCTAATGAGATTAGATGCAGGGAAATCAATGGGTCCTTATAATCTTCATCCAAGTCTTCTCAAGGAGCTATCAGCTCACATAGCCGGCCCTTTGACCACGATCTTAATCTAACTCTCCTAAATGGAGTGTTACCGCGTGACTGGAAAGACGCCATAGTAACCCCCATCGACAAAGGAGGATCAAGACAAAGCCCTTCAAATTACAGGCCTATCAGTTTCATCAGCACTTTAATCAAGACACTGGAAAGAATCACCAAGAAAAGCATCATGGCATATCTGGAAAATAGCAGCTTGTTATCCAGAGCACAACATGGCTTCCGAAGAAACCTCTCACGCCTCTCAAATCTCACTGCAAGAGAAAGCTGGGTCAAATCAAGGGACAGCAGAAGACCTGTTGACGTCGTCTTCATAGACTTCAGCAAAGCCTTTGATAAAGTACCACACAAAAGACTACTCATGAAGTCGGAAAGTCTTGGTATCAAATACACCTTACTAAACTGGCTCAGGGAATTCCTCATAGATAGGAGGCAGAGGGTTAGGATCAACTCGAAACTCTCCTCTTGGACAGCAGTACGTAGTGGAGTGCCACAGGGCATGGTACTCCAATCTCTCCTATTTATTTTGTATATCAATGAGTTATCTCTGCTCACGGATTCCAAAATGGTCCTATACGCAGATGACTTAAAAATTTGGAGAGAGCTGAAGGGCAACAGTGATACGTCCACGTTGCAAGAGGACCCCAACAAATTGTCAGAGTGGTACACAGAATGGATGCTCATGATCAATGTGGCAAAATGTGCAACCATGCGCATTGGACAAGCAAGCACGAGCTCCTACGAACTAGAGGGAATTACACTTCCATCAGTTCAGACTCACTTGGACTTAGGTGTCATAGTTAGCCACGACTTAAAAACTACAGCACGCTGTCGCGCGGTGGCTGCACGTAGTTTCAGGTCATTATGGGCAATTCGTAGAGCCTTCACTAGAATCACCAGAGATATGTTCACCTCCTTATATACATCTCTGGTGAGGTCAAGACTGGGAAACTGCATCCAGGCCGCCAGCCCTTGTCTAAAAGGGGACTCACACATTCTAGAAAGGGTTCAAAGGAAGGTAACACGTATGGTTCTCGGAATGACTAATTTATCATACGAGGAAAGAATAGACAGTTTAAATCTCTTCTCCTTGTCATACCGTAGGCAGAGAGGAGATTTAATCACAATGTTTAAAATTTTAAATAATGACTACGGACCTGACCTATCCTCTCTTTTCCTTCCCACCAGGTCGGAACACCTTACAGGACATAGCCGGAGAGTTCAAAAGCTAAGAAGAAATTATATTGCTGTTGAGTACTGGTCCACACACCAAGTCATAAACTCTTGGAACCGACTCCCAGAAGAAGTGGTGTCTGCAACCTCAACTGATTCGTTCAAGAAGGGTTTGAACAACCACAGAAATTTACTAGAAAAGGATTAACATAGGCTCCAAGCCTTCTGTCCTCAACCAATAAATCTGAATGTTAATTATAAGGGTAGACAGATTATTTCATTTTAAATTGAATTTATCGTTTGTAACATGGCTAAGCTGTGCATCGATAGTTTCACATGATGGTCCCCCAACTAGATTGGAGAAGAGAAGGCGGTACTCGCTTATCAGAAGACAAGACAGATGGAACTTAGGATGAAAGATTGGGTTCTAAGGCAGACAAAAATGTAAGGGCAAATGCAAAAATTCGGAGCAGAGATGGATTTTAAAGAACAATAAGAGACTAGTGGGGTTAGAATTAGTAAGCGGAAATCCAGAATAAGAAGCTGAGTGAGACGTTTACAACACTAGTACAGCCTCCCAGTGTTAGTATGCTGAATATTATACAACTCAAAGTATTTTCCTGGGTAAGGCTATTATCTATGAATCTGGGCAAACATGCCGTTCTTATGTGATGGCCTTGTCCTCAGCTGATAATATCTACTGCTGAAAAGACTGTCACGTCAGGCAGGCAGCCAATTCTACAGTTAGCACAGTGGTTAGGACTCTCGCCGACCATGCACATGGTCCGGGGTTCGATCCCCTGCCGGTGCACACCCGATATTTATGGTCGGCCTG